ATAAACCACAATCGAAGATAAACCCATGAAAGCTCTTGTAAATGAGAATAACTAGACAAATCTGTAAATTTAAAGGAAGACCAAATTAAAAAAAAATGATCAGTATTTGGTCTTTTCCAGATCCTGCAAGAATCTAGAAGTTTTGGTTTTTTTCCGATACCATAAAGAGAAAACCGAAATGTTCTACTTCATCTAATACATGGAGGCATGGGTAAATGTTAAAGGAAATCGAATATTTATATCCAATTTTATACGAAATCATAAGTTCCGATGAATTACATATTCATATCAGATTTCTGGTTAAGAGAAATATTAAGATATAGCAAATTATGACAGATATAAGTATTGGAAATTGTGGCCCTTTGTGGGCGAGGTACCAGAAGGGGTTAGCAGATATCTATCAACTTCACAATAGATTTTGCGTTGGATGTGTGAAATTTGAAGAGAGTTTGATGCTTATTTCGGATTTATAATCCTTTTGGTTGTTCAAATTTTTGACCCTTTGTGGGGGAGGTACCAGAAAAAATGTTTCGATCTCTACCATCTTTATAACAGATCTTGTGTTGATAGAAATATTGCGATGTGCCAAATCTGAATGGAATCTAATAATAATTTCGCGTTTTATTAGCTTCACTGATATTTAAAATTTTGAACCCTTTGTGAGGAATGCATCAAAAGGAGTGGGCCGATAGATTCCATCTTCACAGCAGATCTTGTGTTAGTAATAATAAAAGGATGTGTGTAATTTGAAGAGAGGCGGCTGATTATTTCGGATTTTATTATCTTTTTGGTTATTCAATTCTTTGATCCTTTGTGGGGGAGGTACCAGAAGGAATGTTCCGATCTCTACCATCTTTGTAACAGATATGAATGGAATCGAATGTTAATTTCGCGTTTTATGAGCTTCATGGATAAGCGGATCATCCTTTCTCTTTCTGTGCAGAAAAAACATATTTTTTAAATGTCGAGGTACCAGAATGAGGTGACTGATATTGCCCATCTTCGAACTCGATCTAAGTTTTATAATAATATTTCGATGTACCAAATTTGGATCAAATCGCATACTTCCTTCGAGAGTTATCGTGTGCACCAGCCAGGCAGACAGAAGGACAGGACGGACATCGCTAGATCGACTCCAAATGTCCTAGAACGGATTTGGTACAAAGAGGCATAGGGTCTTAAACCGTTATTTCGATGAGGCACGTTTTGGCCGTATCATATGATACATATCCTATATATCCATATGGCCAAGTGAATAAACAAATTTTGTCAAAAAAATTAAAATATTTTTTCAAATATAAGTAGATTTTTATATGTTTTCTTATATGACGTCAATCGGAGGTTATTATAATATGGGTTTTTCAAAAAATTTTAAACATTTGAATGATTTTCCATTTTAAAATTGGATGGATAGTTTCTTGTTACAGCAGCTGCGTCAATACGTCTACATGTATTCTTCTACCATGATTTTTTTCAAATAACCTATAATTCTTGCGATATTTTATGCATTTCTCCTCGTCTTTTCCGTTTGAATGCAGCCAAGTGTTCTAAGGTCGATGAAATTTACACAAAATAATCCGATGCGTTCAGTTGCCTTCAATTGATTTTTTCTTGTTTTGTTACTAACTGGATTCCTTATATTGACCGGTTTCTTTTGTGTGTTGTCTTCTTGAGTCGACCGGCCGGCAGGTCGGGCTATCGCCCTACCGGCTTTTTGGCCTCCAGTCAGTAATAGCTGCCGGTAACCGGTTTGCTGTTGTCAACCCACCTAAAAAGCTTTCTTTTTTGTTGGCATTGTAAATACTACCCACTTTTGGTAAGTTCATTCTCAATTCTTCCTCTTCTGCTGTTGTCCCGACGAGCCATTGCTTCTGCTTGAATTGTCTTTTCGTTTAGGAGATTCTTATCTTATAGAAATATTTGCAACGTTAATTGGCTTGATTCGTGCTCGTTGCATACAGCGCCCGAATGGTGGTATGCAACAATGGTGGTGGCATGAAGATGTAGGTATGCTCTCCACGACAAGAAGAAACCCCAACAATCATCCAGAGACATTCAAAAATAACTGCAAATAGTGATTCATGTGTGCATGCAATTTCCAAGCAACAGCAACAGTTTGCCGCATCTGTCTGGGTACAGTTTTCATGACAACGCCCTTCAGTTGCCATCTGTATTTGGAATTTCTCTTCCAATTTATTCATAACTAACTGTGTTCACCTTTTTGTGGAGCACATCGGATGACGTACATTACATGTGTAGTTAATGGGTGTTCACTGTCATAAGTAAATCGGAAACCGTTTTCGTCTCGACGCTATTTTCACAGGAATTTCTGTGGGTGCAGTAAAAGCAAAACCCATGCAAAAGTAATACTCGACGAAGAAGACCAACAAGGTTTCTTTGAATCGGATCATGAGACAAATTTATGCACATAGATGTACAGACAAAACCATTCAACCGTTGGAAAATGAAAGTAGGAGTTAAACGTCATTAAAAACTATTTCCGTTATACTAAGTCTTCTGAAGCAAATGTCGCCAGAATATTGACAGAGGTTTACTGCGCTTGCTGCTTTTGGGGGCGTAGTTTAATTAAATGTTAAGACATCTCATGGTAGAAGAATATAGGTAGACATCGACACAGCTGCTGGAACAATGAACTGTCAAGCCAAGTTTGGAATTGAAGATGTTGAACGAAAAATTATTGAAATTTGTAAAAAATGTTAAAAAAAACGCGTATTATAATAACCTCCAAATGAGGTCGTATAAGAAAACAAGTAAAATCTACTTATATTTGAAAAAACATTTAAAATTGTTTGACATATCAATGTTCCCAAGCGTTGATGCATCTATCTGTATTCTTCTACCATGAGACAGCTTTTGTCTAATAGTATGTTTACATAAGAGCTTTTTGCCGGCTTAACCTTCTTTATGAGTATCAATTTGACGCATGACAGAATTAACAAGGTAACCTCATTTATCGTTTTTAAATAATCTTAAAATTTATTCCAAAACTATTTACGCTAGATAAGTGGAATATTTTTTGGAAAATTCTTTTTTTCGTTTTGAATGAATGGCATAATTGTTCCTTTTTTACATACGTACAGTGAGATAAAAAACTGCAACAAAGTCAAACGCCATTATTTTTATTTTTTTTAATGTAATTGAATGAAAGCAAAAAATTTCGAAAATAGCATCAAATTTGAGAATAAGTTTAGATTTATTCGAATTGGTCACCCTTGGCACGAATTATGGCCTTCTAACGCCAAATGAAACCGTCACACGCTGACCGAATGTTGCTCTGCGGTATTTTGGCCCATTCTCGGCGAAGCGCTTGCTTGAAGTGATCGACACTTTGGTATTTTTTAGTGGCAACCTTGCTTTACAAAATACTCCAGACACAATAGTCCAACAAATTGGTATCCGGAGATTTTGGTGGCCATTGTGCGCTGAAAATGAAGCGAAGAACCTAATTTTGTAACCATTCATGGGTGGCGCGTGCTGAGTACAATGAAGCTGAGACCTGTTGGAATATCCAAGGTCTGCGGCCAAAATGTTTGCGTGCCCAAAGCCTTCAATACACCCTTCAGAATATTTTCGCGATAAACTTCGGAATTTATTCTGATGCCACGGTCGATTAACACGAGCGGAGAGCGACCATTGGCTGTTATGGCGTCCCACACCATCACCATGGCGGGCGCTTGAGTTCAGGTGGCCAACCGAAGGTGCACATTTTCAGCTGACCTTTTTGGCAAGTAAACACGATCATTTCGTTTGGTTACAAACTGCTGGACAACGAATATTTTATCATCGGAGAAAACAGGCAGTTCACCACTTTCGGCCAAGCGAAGGAACTCTTCAGATCTTTTGAGTCTATTTTCTTTCTGTTGTGGTGTAAGTTCTTGCACTTTTAGGAATTTCAATGGCTTTACCCCGAGCTCATTTTTCAATATTTGCGAATCGAATATTGCGATATGTTTAGCTCACAAGCCATTTTCGAACACTGTGACGCGGATTTCGACCAAGTCGCTTCTTTACTTTTCGAACCATTTCCGCTGACGTTGCTGTTTTCTTCCGTCCACTTGCTTGACGTCTGGCAACGCTACCAGTGTCACGGTACGAGACACAAAAGATTTATTCACATTTAAATGCTGGAGTGCTCTAACGATAGCCATTTGTGGTTTTCCAGCCAAATATAAAGAAATCACACTATCACGCTTGAATTCCATCACGAATAACTTATTTTCTGGAAAATTCTCACCAAAATGCTTTTGTTCACTTGTAAACAATATAATGAGTTGTCACTGTAATTTTAAGACGAGTGGCTTAGAAATGACAGCAGTCTGAAGTTGGTTGCAGTTTTTTCTTCTCTCCCTGTAGGGATAAGTAAGTCGACTTTCGACTACTCGACTTTTGGTGTTGAAAAGTCTCAAAGTCGTTATAAATTTTTTTCTGCTGTGAAAATGAATTCGACTTTTCACAATTATTTTTTAGTTTTAAAAATCATAGATTTTTAGACAATAGTATACACAACCACATCTCAAAACATCTAGATTTAGTGGATCGTCTTTTGGTCTGGTCTTTAAAAAATGTAAGTCTATTGTTTACAACTTAAAGGAAAATATATTATTTTACATCGTGACGTTTCGGGTATATTACCGCTATTTACTTTATACCTATAGCACTTGAAAATATCATGTGCGTCCATTGATCAATAACATAAGATGCTATCTTAAAGACCATGACAATATGTTTTTTATCTTATTAATAAAAAGCGTAATGATTTCCAAATTGAGATGGCTACATACATATTAAAATTAACTCATTTATCAAAAGTATTTTTATAACACCTGTTGTCCTAATTATGATAACAAGTGGATTAAAAACAAGAACTCCTCAGAGAAAAGTGTATTTCAAAATTTGTCAAAAATAAACAGAAGGCCCTGATGATTTTTTTTAATAAATATAAATTAAAAAATTTCTTCTTTGATTGTTTTTCATTTAAGACATAAAACATGGCCGATGAAGCACCAGCTGCACCACCCGCCGAAGGTGAGGCACCAGCAGCACCCGCCGAAGGCGAGGCACCACCACCAGCTGAAGGCGAAGCCCCACCAGCTGAACCCGTTAAGAACACCTACACTCTATTCTATTTCAATGTCAAAGCCTTGGCCGAGCCATTGCGTTATCTCTTCGCCTATGGTGGCATTGAATACGAGGATGTTCGTGTAACTCGCGATGAGTGGCCAGCATTGAAGCCAAGTAAGTTCCGCACATTTTGTTCCATTTTGATGCAATTGAACTTTTCCTACGTCCGTTAATTTTTATAGCCATGCCCATGGGTCAAATGCCCGTTTTGGAGGTTAACGGCAAGCGTGTTCATCAGAGCATTTCAATGGCCCGTTTCTTGGCGAAAACTGTGGGCTTGTGCGGTGCCACACCCTGGGAAGATCTACAAGTTGATATTGTTGTCGATACCATCAATGATTTCCGTCTAAGTAGCGAACAATGTGTGCAGTTGCATGTCTATGTTGTTTGATTAATCTTTGTATTTTAATATATAGAAATTGCAGTCGTTTCCTACGAACCCGAGGATGAAATCAAGGAGAAGAAATTGGTCACCCTTAACAATGAAGTCATTCCATTCTATTTGGAGAAATTGGAACAAACCGTCAAGGATAACGATGGTCATTTGGCATTGAACAAGGTGAGTGATCGATCAGCTTAGTTAGGGTTTGGAAAATTATAAATTAAAAGTCTTAAGGAATTAAAGGAAAGAACATATCATATTATATAAAGCATACTTTAAGGCGCATTATACAAATTTAGCAAACTGAAGGACAAGGAAAGGCAAAATTTTAAATGTGTTGTTCCAGGCTTAGAAGTACAATCTGATATAAGTGCAATGATCTAGATAATTATTTTTCTTCTTAAATAAAGACTAAGTATCAGAAATTTGTTGGTGAAAAGAAAACGCTTTTCAAAAGATATTTTTAGATGGAACAACTTCTACAGATAGTTTACATATAGTATTACTTTTGCGGATATTCCTCAGATAAAACAACTTCTCAGGTCTTCTTCTGCAGTTTTTCTATTAATAGACCGACAGCTTAATGTGATCTAGGTTCAATTTAGTCTCTTATTTGTTTACCCTACATCACAAGGTGGCCAGGGTATTATGTATTTTTGCATTTGTTTGTGACAGGCAAATAGAAACGAGATAGACCCATAATTGCTTTTGGTGATCTGCATAGAATCATATTCTGAGTTGATTTGTGCATGTCCGTTCGTCCCTCCGTCCAAGTATTTTGTAAAGAAAGGTTAGGTTAGGTTGAAAAGAGCCGCATACCGTGTTGGGCTTACACTTAAGCCAGTATAGGCCTGTTGTGCGTTCTAGACTAATGGTTTTTTGAAGAAAACGGGCAGTTTACAGTCTGTTATATTTGAAATTCAGTTGCCTTTATGAAATTTCTTAACTGCCTTATATCATTTACCATGGTCTGATTAAGGTCTGGTATGGAGTCGTTCCCTAAGAATTGGTAAAGAATGTAGAGAACGCATTTATTGCCCGATCCCGATAGAATTTTGCACAAGTCATTGAAAGCACGAATCCTATTGAAATTGGAGATAATCGGTCAAACTTTAGATATAGCTCCCATATACAGGGTGAGATGAAAAAACTGCAACCAACTTCCAACTGCTGTCATTTATAAGCCACTTGTCCGACAGCTGTTAAAATTATTCCAGTGACAGCTCATTATACTGCTTACAAGCATACAAAAGTATTTTGGTGAGAATTTTCCAGAAAAAAAAATTATTTGTGCTGGAATTCAAGCGTGATAGTGTGATTTCTTTCCGAAAAATGGCACGTGAACAGAACGTATCGCAGTATTCTATTCGGCAAATATTGAAAAAAGAGCTCGGGGTAAAGTCATTTAAATTCCAAAAAGTGCAAGAGCTTACACAGCAACAGAAAGAAAATAGACTCAAAAAAGCTAAAGAGTTCTTCGCTTGGCCGAAAGTGGTGATCTGCTGAATTTGGTTTTCTCCGATGAGAAAACATTTGTTGTCCAGCAGTTTGTAAACAATCAAAATGATCGTGATTACTTGCCAAAGAGGTCAGCTGAAAATGTGCACCTTCGGTTGGCCACCAGAACTCAAGCGCCGGCCAAACATTTTGGTCGCAGGCCATGGACATTCCAACAGGACTCAGCATCATCGCACTCAGCACGCGCCACCCAAGAATGGTTACAAAATGAGGTTCCCCGCTCTATTTCCAGCACACAATGGCCACCAATCCGTTGGACTATTGTGTCTGGAATATTTGAAAAGCAAGGTTGGCACCAAAAAATGCCAAAGTATCGATCACCTCAAGCAAGCTCTTTGCCGGGAATGGACCAAAATACCGCAGAGCAACATTCGCTCGGCAGCTCGTGACGGTTTTATTGGCCGTTTGAAGGCCATAATTCGTGCCAAAGGTGACCAATTCGAACAAATCTAAACTTATTCTAAATGTTGGTTCTATTTCCGACATTTTTTGCTTCATTCAAGAAAATTTAAAAAAGTTTGCAGTTTTTTATCTCACCCTGTATATTGTTCATCCGATTTGTTATTTTTATCCTCCACAACCGTAATATACACTCCGTAACTACGATATTTTGGGAAATATATGAAATACAGCTCAGAACTGTCTTCGACATATTTTATGGATATCGGTTCAGATTTGGCTATAGCTCCCATATATATCTCCTTCTGATTTCAAGCTAATTGTGCACCAAACGGGTATTATATGACCGAACTGAAAAGGCATAAATGCCTCAACAAATTAAGTGGAAATCGATTCAGAGAAGGATAATTCTCTAGATGGTCTTTTCTTTTTCTATAAGAAAAAGTTTCCACAGATCTTTTATTGATGAAAGAAATATTTCATATATTCTGTGAGCAGATGATCTATAGAGTTTCTACAAATAGGAGACCACCCATATAATACAATTTCTCCTTAACAAAAATGATTTACAGAATCTGTACAAAAAATCCCTTTCACCATCTAACATTCCCTTTCGCAAACCAATTTATTTGAATTCATGTTTATAAATATTGCAAATTTTTATTCACAATTGTGTTTTCAATTTTGTAACTAATTAAAAATATATATTTTTTTCGATTTTAGTTAACCTGGGCCGATGTCTACTTTGCCGGCATTTTGGATTACATGAACTACATGGTGAAGCGTGATATTTTGGAACAATACCCAGCATTACGTGGCGTCGTCGATAGTGTCAATGCCTTGGAACCCATTAAGGCCTGGATTGAAAAGAGACCACAAACTGAAGTCTAAACAAAATTTCAATTTCTCTTGCAAAGCACCAACAACACCAGCGGGGATATAGCGAAAGAAAAACAAAAACATTTATATGAAAAACCAACACTAACTAAAAATCAAAACAACACCAACAACAATATACAATTTAACATCAACAACAACAACAACTGTATTGTTTTACACTTAACACTTTGTTCCTTTCTTTTTTTGTAATAATAATAATAAAATAATATGAAGCATACATCATAAAGATAACAATAATAATTACATATATATTATTAATAATAAACAAAACTATATAAAAAACTAACATTTTTGTTTAACCATTTTTTTGTTTTGTTTTTTAATTTTATCTTTTTTAATTATTTTTAATTTTTTTCTTAATGGCATGGACTATTAAAGCATTATACCACATGTATCACACACACAAATACCTACATATTTGTCAATGTAGTAGGTGATTTCCATTTATTGGGGCTAATGGAAATCACAACTGGCTATGTTTTGTATCTGTTCTCTATGTTAAATGTGGACCTTAACCAAAACCCAATTCTGACCCATTGGCTATGGCATAATGGCTTAACGATTTTCGATACTTTATGCGAAATCCATGGCATCGGACAAGGGATACCATGGATTTTCTTGACAATAGATTTTTTGTTGGTAGCTAACAACACAATTTTGCGTTGTGGTAGTTTGTAGTTTGCATGCAACAAAAATAATATTATTTTCTCTCAATTTTTATTTACTTACACTCACAGATATGCAACAAGATCTTAATCCTAAGGATATTTAAATTAGATGTAAGGATGCAATGAAACTCTCGTTTAGATATTAACATGTTTTAGATCTAAGATTATAAACTTAAATTAGGTTAGGTTGAAGTGCTGTGCTTGAACAACAGCAGCAGCAAAAATATACATTTAAAACTTTCACCCAAACAGGAAACCACTCCAAACAAACAAACAAAAAAAAAAAAGAAAAATCAAACAACCAGCTAACAGCTATAAAAAGCTCGTTTCACCACACTCCCAATACAATACCAAAATAACCCACAACAATGAAAACCATTCACAATTTTCATCTTCTCATTTATATTGCCAAAATAACAACAGCAAAAAAACTGATCAGACTTTAAAACCATATGAAAACCCGAAGAGTATTGAGTATAAAAAGACTCAAAACTTTACTTTGGACCCTTAAACACAAAATTTTGCAACAACAACAACAATAATAAAAATAACAACATAACAGACAAACGAATATTGTATACGAACAGCAAGAGCACAATTATACTATTATCCATGTCATCAAAAACATCGACAAGGATACATACAATCTAACAATCGCTTAACACCGCCGATTGGCTTTGAAAGAGCAAAAAACACAATGCAATTACAGATTTTCTATTGCTTTCAAAACAGTAAGTTAGACCGACCGGAAGGAAACTGAACTTGAATCAAGTGTAAAAGGAATTTGTAATTGTAAAATGTATTTTTATATTGTGAAAAAAAGAGATTTTTTTTAAATAAAAATACAACAAAAATTTATGAGCAGAATGAATTTTTATTATTGATTTTTTAAGATTTATTAAAGATTGTAAAACACAATCAAGCACAAGGTTGCCGGGTTCTCCTTAAGAGCTTCCACAGAAAATATCTACTTTAGATAGAAAACCTAAAAAAACAACTTCTACAAGGATACATATCATCAAGGGGTAAAAAACATACAGGTCTTCCATAGATAGGAGATCTGTAAAGGTCACCTATTGAAAGAATTTAATCAACTTATTGTCTTCTATAGATAGAAGTACATATAAAAAAGATTACATATAATAGGTCTATTACATACATAACCTACAATAGATGTTCTATATATGGAAGGTTTTTCAGCATAGACTACTTCAAAAGGTCGAGCAGGCTTTCGATGAATAAAAGACGTGTTAAAGTTTTTCAAAAAATAGAAAACATTTAAAATTAAAAGTTAGTTAATAAATAGAAGACCTCTTACAGGTCTACCACAGATGACTAGCTTTAGTTTATAAAAATTAAAATATTAAATTAAAATATTAAAGGTAACGAACGTATCTATAAGTTCTTCTTCTATAACTTTTCAAGTTTTGTTTAAAATAAAAATAAACTCAGCATCGGATTTTTAGATTTTCTGTAAGATAGGTCTACTATATACTCTAGAGAGAAAACCTCAAATGGCTTCTTCAAGAATATTTGCTTTCGACGGATATTTTATATATACAGGGTGAGATAAAAAAACCGCAACAAAGTCAAACGCCACAATTGTTACATTTTTTTTTTTAAATTTTATTAATGAAAGCAAAAATGTCGGAAATAGCATCAAATTTTAGAATAAGTTTAGATTTGTTCGAATTAGTCATCTTTGGCACGAATTATGGCCTTCAAACTGTCAATAAAACCGTCACACGTCCCGGGGAAGCGATCGACATTTTGGTATTTTTTAGTGCCAACCTTGCTTTTTAAACTACTCCAGACACAATAGTCCAACGGATTGGTATCCGGAGATTTTGGTGGCCATTGTGCGCAGAAAATGAAGCGAGGAACCTCATGCGGTGTCAGTTCTTTCACTTTTTGGAATTTCAATGGCTTTAGCCCGAGCAAATTTTTCAATATTTGCCGAATGGAATATTGCGATATATTCAGCTCACGATCCATTTTTCGGTCACTGCAACGCAGGTTTCGATCAAGTCGCTTTTTTACTTTTCGAACTATTTCTGCTGATGTTACTGTTTTTTTTCGTCCACTTCCTTGACGTCGAGATACGCTACCAGTATCACGGTAACGAGCGATGGTACGAGACACAGAAGATTTATTCACATTTAAATGCTGGAGTGCCCTAACAATAACCACTGTGGTTTTCCAGTCAAATATAAAGAAATCACACTATCACGCTTGAATTCCATCACAAATAACTTTTTTTCTGGAAATTCTCACCAAAATGCTTTTGTACGCTTGTAAACAATATAATGAGCTGTCACTGGAATAATTTTAACAGCTGTCGGACGAATGACTTAGAAATAACAGCAGTCTGAAGTTGGTTGCAGTTTTTTCATCTCACCCTGTCTCACATGTCTTCGACCGATATTCAGTATATGTCTTCTACAAATAAGAGATCTAGAGGAGAATCCACATATTATACGCATTTAATCAGCTTTAGGCCTTCAATAGATAAAAGTACTAGTAATAGATAAAAGTACTTGAAGTATTTTATGGAATTTCAAAGTGTTTAAAACATCTGCAACAGATCAACTATAAGAGGTATTTTATATACAAGACACCTCCATAGTTTTTCTATTGATAATCCATCGAAAATCAAAAGTCAATTAAATGGTAGACGTCTCACAGGGTACTGAAGTTTTACCACAATTTTTTCATGGATGTTCTATATTCTAAAAATTAAATATCTAAAAATCTAATGGCGAGAGGGAATATATTCGCATTTCTTCTGTACATATGAGATCATTGACATATGAATGGCACATAGATTCTCCTACTTGATTCGTGAATATAGCCATACTCTCTGTTCCTTTTCCTTTATTCGTGTAACCAAAAAAAAAACTACAATTATAGTTAATGACAAAACTTATGAAACGAATTTTCAGCACCATGTAGAAAGAACATGGTGCTAAAAAATATTTATTTTCCAGAAATGAATTACAAAACTGAGATTTTTTTCGGTTCAGTATCATAAAAATGTAATAAGGTAAACAAAAGGTATTAAAAATCTATAAATTAAGCGAACACAGCAACACTCACACACATACAAAATAAATACAATGCTATGTCAAGGAAAATGTAAAGATTTTATGAAAATATAGTTTATAACGAAAGACGAAACAAAAAACATTTAAGTCTGTATAGTCTCTTTTGCAAAACAACAGAAAAAAACGAATAATTATAAAATAAAAAGGGTGGGTGATAATCATCAGTTGTAAAACAATTATTATATAGTCACTAATTTAACTGGTTTAGATTTGCGATGCTTTTTGGTTTTCTTTTTACGTAAAAATGTGCCATGTTTACGGCATTCATCCAAAATGTAGGCAAAATCTGGATGACGTTTCAAAGTCAAAGGATTACCCATGAGAATAAGTAGGGATTTGGGTCGTGATAGTATAACGTTTAAACGCTGAAAAAAAAGAAAAATGAAATATTAAAATACTTAAAAATGTGCAAACAACTAGTCTTACCTTGGGATTTCTTACAAAACCCAGACCAGAAAATGATCTCACCAGTGACACAATAATAATTTGCTTTTCTCGTCCTTGAAATGTTTCCACAGAACCACTTTCAACACCGCTCCAACCACAGTCATGTAAGCGATTTTGTATTAGCTTATTTTGCAAGCGATATGGCGTAATAATACCAATATCTGATTGTTTTACGGGATGGCCATCTATGCCATCGATAAGTAAGCGACGCAGAAACCACATCAGCACTTGTAGCTCAAGGTTATTGCGAGAGCTTGGCGAAATGGTATCTTTTTCGGTAACGCCATGAACGGCTTGGAAAATAATAGGGAAATTAGGATTTGGCAATTTACACCATTTGGCTGCCATATTGACATCATCTGTAAAATTTTGGTAATATTTAAATTTTCTTACTAAATTTTAAACAAAAAAATCCTACCCAATTTAGCTTCCGCAATCAATTCATTCTTGTAATATAAATGATTGAATATATTGACAATTTCAGGATGCGAGCGATAGTTACGTTTCAATCGGGCCTGTATTGTACGATCATAATTGCAATTATCATCTAGACCATAGCATTTCAAACTCAATAGTCTTTCCATTAGAGATTTGCCTAGTCCCAATTGATTGGCTCGCTCCGATTTGATTATGGGACCCAGCTGCTTATGATCACCGGATAAGATTATATGACAATGTAATGTTTTGATACCCATTATGCCAACCAAAGCCTCAGGTTCTGTAGAAGCACCAGCTTCATCGATGAAAATATGGGAAAAGAAATTCATTTCACCAATATCTCCGGTAACCAATTTACCCACAGTGCACAGTGTGGCCACAATAATACCATACTGACGAATTTCCTCTACCGAGGGATAATAATGGATACCATGTTGACAATTCGAATTGGCCTGCAATTCGGGATCAATCAAATGTAAACCTTTTTCAACAATGGACTTTGAATAGATTCGAATTATGGGTTTTTGATTTTCGGGATCTCTCTGTTGGATCTCTTGTAAACGTTTATTGCTATTAAAATATTTACATATTCGTAATGCAATTGTATCACAAGCGGCATTCGAACCGGCTGTGACAAGTATACGACTTCCTGGTTTAAGAAGTCGCAGTTGTAGTAGTGACTCCACGATTGTTGTCGTTTTGCCGGTCCCTAGGGGAAAAATAAATGTTACATTCATGTGAAATTTAATCAAGGATCTAAGCAAAGAAATTTCAATCGAAGAAAAAGCTGAGTTGGTTTGTTATTAATTGTCCATGACATTCATAAACTCACAGGCATGTGATTCCATTTGACACAAATCGAAATCAATATCTTAAATTTAACTAATTCTCTTAATTAAACGAGTATTCTTCCAAAGAAATATAGTTTTATTATCAAATTGAATTTACATATCGAATTAGTTCCTATCACATTCCTGTCTGTTTTTCGTCAATGAGACTTCTGTGTAGGAAATATGAATATTTATAACCTACCTGGTGGACCGAAAATCACAAATGGAGCATTAGGGCTGGGTCCTTCGGTTATACAACGTACAGCTCCCAGCTGTTCTGGATTTGAGGCGATTGTGGGATTAAATAAATGTAACCTAAAAGTGCATTATAAATGTAATTGGTTATAATTTCGCATGGTATATTTGATTAAAAAAAATTCTTAATAATTTTTTATTGGTATTTCGAAGTAATCATTGCAAATTTTCGGGGTATGCTCAAAAATATGTCTCGGATTCATTCCGAATAGTCAAATTTTGGCCATATGAACATTTCTTCTTTTTATGTCCACCAATTTTCATTATTATTTTTTTCATAATTTTTGTTTGCATTGTGTAATACTTAAAAACTACAACTTACTCAAATTCTGGTTCATATTTTATAGCTCTCATTGGATTATTTTCAGGAAATAGATATTGCAGTACATGATCATTTTCGGCCAACATTTCCAAGGCTCTAAATTGATAACGTACTGGTAAACGTCGTGGACGAATAATTATATCATATTTGGTCGAGGACAAAGAACCAATTTGTGCTGCCGTAAAGTGTTCATCTCGGCTAAAACGAAAATGCACCTCATCTTTGGATATTTTATAAATGGTGGCAATGCGACGTTTAATTGTATTATCAATTTCAGACTCATGCGGATGTGGAAATAATGTATCAATTAAATATTTTGGTGGACTAGTTTCGGCTAAAACACTGCTTGCTTTTGGTATAACAACCAGTTCATCCATAAATGGTACAATAATTTCGTCTATATTTGTGTTGGAAATCGCTTGCATCTGAAATAAGTAGACATGTTTCAAAAATCTTGCTTTCAAATTTGTATTTACAAGATTTATATAATTCTGATAGTCAAGAAAATCTAGTTTGTTTCTTCTTTTTTTCTTACAGGTATCCAATATTTCCTTTTTTCGGTCCACCTTAGGGTAACATCCTTTTGTGCCAATGCAGGATAATCCGACATATCCGTTAAATCTTCAATTTCAAGTAGAGTATTGAATACTCCTCGTATATTTTCCTTATTCAAACGACGATTACCAACGTATTTCTTAATAATATCACTGTCGCACAACGAGGGCAAAGAAAAATTTTGTTTGTTGGATATCTTCATTTTTTCACTGGGCGGATAACATGGTAAGCTTTTCTTTGAACGAAAATATCTACAGGGGAATGAAAAAAGGAAGTTATTTTTATGAGTACAACTAATAAACTGACTGACGACTACATTTTGATGGGTTTAATCATGGTACAATGAAGAGAAGATCTACCTGTTTGGCTTGTAATGTCAGAATTAGTATCGAAACAATAAAAAATCAAAGAACTTGTTGCATTTATTTTGAATAAATAATTGAAAACCGCGATAACTGAATGAAAGGTCAACACTTCTTTTCAAAATCATGTACTTAATATCTCTAAAGGATTATTTCGCTACAAAAACTCTAGATTTTGTCGATGCATACGTTGAAATAAACATTTTGAAAACACCCGATTTTGAATGTTTTCTGAACAATTTTTTGTTATTGTCATAGCCCTACCTTTGTATCATTGTACCATGGGTTTAATAATTTGAATAAACTATATATGACCATTTCTCTGGCAGATTCGCAGATTCTCTTCAACAAACTGTACACTCCTACAAACTTAGTCCCATTTCATAAGTCCAAAGAAATTTCTTCATGTATTCTTTTTAAAAATTCATGTACTGAAGAATTTTGCAATAAATTACTTACGTTCTTTCCGGTTCATCCGCAAAATCATCAATACAAAACGTATAATATTCTTCATCTGAATTCGAGCATACAGTCCAGACATCAGATTCATCATCGTCATTCACAGCATCATCATCCTCCTCGTCCGATATAACGATGATATCTTTACAGATTACACATGTTTTGGCTGGTCCGCCTTCACGCGAGAACACTTTAGACTTATACGGCAAAACAACCTTTTGCTTATCCTCCACATCACTATTTGTCGAGTCATCATTGAATTCTTCATCGTCATAACCGCTGGATGTTTTGGAAGCATTATCCAAAAAGTCTTTGCTACTCATTCCATCCAGAGTTTCATGACACTTTGGGAAAAAATAATGCAAGAAATACAAATGTATAATCATAAAAATCTAAATCATATTTTCATCTTACACCGGAATGCACTAGATCCAAAGACTTTCGCAAATCCGAGCATAGTTTCTTTAAAAGCTCATTGGTATGATCCAAAATTTTATCATCCATCATTTTGTTTTATATTCAATTACAAAACATAAACACCGATAGACAAAATAAAGAGACAATGAATTGCAAGGAAGTTACAAAAATAAAATTAAACATAAAAATACAGAAATTATCAAGATTATTCTAGGATGCGCCAATATGTTATCGAAATAACGGTTTTAAAAGTTATTATCGATAAACTGCAAATGGTCGTCTATTGGGGGAAAATGAATACAAAAAATACAACTCTGTGCGAACGTTGAGTGCATGTAAAATGAAAAAGGTAGCATTATCGTACTCGAGGTATATATCATGGTAGAAGAATACAGGTAGTCTCATCGACATAGCTGCTGGAACAATGAACTGTCAGACCGATTTTGATATTGAAAATCGTGAATGAAAAATTATTAAATTTTGGTAAAATTGTTGAAAATTACATATCATTACAACCTCCGATTTGCGTCGTATAAGAAAATATATAAAAATCGACTTATTTTTGACAAAGCACTTAAAAAATATTGACATATCAATGTTCCCAAGCGTTGATGCATCTACCTATATTCTTCTACCACGGTATATATTTATCACAAGTTATTAAAGCTGATTCACACCGACATGTAAATTATACATTTACAATCTGAATTAAACTGTACGTTTCTTATAAAAAAAAATGTTGAAGAATCTGGCAAGACGCTTTTATTACTCACTTGTGCTATGTTCCAGAACCTGGGGCAGAGCAAGCGTTATAGAAAATGTATTGGCTGAAAAAATATTCTTTGAATCGGACTGATACTTGAATGCATGGTACAATGAAGACAAGTTAGGCAAACTTTGAAAAAATTGCAAGTATAGAGGTCTACCTCTTTGGCTTGTAAAGTCAGAGTTACTTACAAAACCATTAAAAACCCAAACAATTTGTTGCATTGATTATGGATAAATAATTCAAAACAGCGAAAACTGAATGAAAGGTCAATATTTCTTTTCAAAATCATGTTCTATTTATCTCTATAGGTTTATTTTGCTACAAAAACTGCAGATTTTGTAGAGGCATTCGTTGCAACAAACATTTTGAAAACACTCGAACTTGAATATTTTTTGAACATTTTTTTATTATTAAAAAGAATACACACACATTTTAAGCCAAGAAAATAAAAAAAAATTGAAATCATATGGTATGGGAGGGTTATGACTATCTTGTCAACTTCATTTTATATACTTCAAATTAATCTATTTAACGAAGGTTAACCCGAAAAAAAGCTCTAACGTAAACATGTCTTTATCCTCTAAGGCGTCCAAGTACTGATTTTATAAAAAAAGGATGGTAAAGTATAATCCATGGTAGAATTCAGAAGGTAAAATCATGCAATCATATGTTTTTTCAAAATTATTCATTGGACAACCTCTCATTGTCAAAATGTTTATTTATAAATCCATTGTACATAAACAAATCAGAGATAGAAACCTGTTTTCCATGCAGTGAGATTTGACAAGTTAAATTGCGGAAATTACGGAAAGATGGGAATGTTTATTTGAAATGACTTTAATGAAAATAAAAAAAAATTGCCAAAAAATTGGTAAACTCGCCTTGGAACTAATTCAATTAGACTTTAAGGTCTAAGCTTCAACTACCAAAACATCAGTTCGAAACTTCTGAGGCCTACATTTCCTCCCCGTTATTGAATAAAACATTTTAAACGTAGTAATTATTTTATATTCTTTATATATTACTTAACATGACCACTTTTCAAATAATGATCAGTTAATAATGAATTTAAGGGAAATGTTTCACAACATGTTTTACATTCGAATGGCATTTGACCCGTGTGCACATACATATGTGTTCTTAGTACTGAACGACATTTAAAGCTTTTTTCACATTGTCGACATTTGTATGGCCGTAAATCGGAATGTACACTCATGTGAGTCTTTAGTTTATCACGTCGTCTAAATGATTTTCCACAAATCGAACATTGAAACGGCTTTAAATCGCTATGTATGCGTTGATGGACTTTCATTTCTCTTACACGTTTATATGCCTTATTACAAATACCACAAACGTATGGTCTGTCGTCGGTGTGAGATATCAAGTGATTTTCGAGTCCTTTCTTTGAATTATATGACTGTCCACAATGGGGGCATAGGTAACATTTTTCTCGTTTTTGTCTCGGTGTTTTCGGATGAGTATGTATGATTTGTATGTGCCTGTTCATATCATACCGCCTTCCAAAACTGCGCCCACAGACATTACAAACAAACGGTTTACTGTCTGTTGGCTCTTCTCTGAAAAACTCTTCCACACTTTGTTTGCCGTGTTTCGACTCCATGTGAACTTTTAACACTGAAGGTCGACTAGTTTTGTGGTCACACAAAGGACATGACATCTTCTCTTCATCAGGCATGTGGGTGTAATGGGTATGAATATTTAGAGACTTTTTATCTTTGAAGATTTTTCGACATATTTCACATATGGCGACATTTCTTTTCCACCCAGAGATTCAACATCAGATTTCTCTGTTTCGTTGCTGCTACATGCCGTTTGTCTGTTACATCAAACATTTTAAAGATACACTTGTTCATATATAAAACTTGTTCACATTGCATACCTTCCATCAAAGCTGTCTTCATTTTTTAATTGCTCACTATGAGATGTCTCAAAATTTGTGAACTGTTCTGCCTGTTCTATTTCTATAGTTATTTCTTCCAATTCAGTTTCGCCTGCTCTACAAATATCTATTCCAATATCTTTCCCTTTAGTATCCACTTCAGATTCTGCTTCAAACAGCAATGCATGTGTTTCAGGTTTTTCGACGTATGTCTCAAGCAAAACGTTTGAATCTTCTGTCTCCCCACATTCATCATCCTTTTGATCCAACTCCATAAAGTATTCATAGGAAGACTGCACTTTTAACAAGAACTTATAACTTTGTTTTATCTGCCGTATGCATTTATTACATGCCTTCTTTGGAAATATAGTTTCATCATGCTCCTCTATCTAGAAATAAGATGTGCATAGAGAGGGAATTTATATAGGTTTTTGGGCTTCACTCTAGAATAAACTCTTAAATTTTTTCCAGAGGTAGGTAATTTTACCCTGATCCCGGGAAACTATTTTTTTTCTTGGGGAATGGACCCGGGACCCTAGATTTTTGATTCGAAAGTCCGGGTTCAAGGCCCCGATTAGACCCGGATCCAATTACCCGATATTGACAATATAGTTGGGAAGGTAAGGGTTTCCGCTATAATTTGGCATCTTTTGAGTTTGGACGTTTTGGAAGTTTTATGAAAAATTCGGGTCCAAAAAATGGATAATTTCCGAACCGTGGCCACTTACCCCATGATGTGACCACTTGTTGGATACGTATTTTCATGAGCTTTCACGATACCTATATATCGGTTAAGCGGATCCAGGTCCAGCCGAGGACTTGAACCCGGACTTTCGTGTCAAAAATCTGGGGTGCCGGGTCCCCCAAGAAAAAAATAGTTTCCGCAATCAGGGTAAAAATACCTACCTTTGGAAAAAATCGAAGAATTTTTAGTAAACTAGTGCTGCTCCGGTTTTTGTTTTGAAAACTTACGTTTTGAATCATCCCAATGGCCATTTCGTGTAAAATATCCTTGTAAGTTTTTTCTTCAGCACCTGGCACATTGACTTTCGCTTTTAGGTTCACCAATCTGTATGTGGAGATCCTACAGCAACGACATAATCTCTCCTCCACCATCCTAAAAACGACCTTCTATTTTGAACAAATATGGAAATTTCAGGATCAGTATGACAAAAGAATGTTGAGTTTCCAGGAAGCAAGCCAATCCAATTCCTTCAACAAAGAGATGCGAATGAAGGAAGAGGCAACCGCCGAATATACAATAGAAAGTGGAAGAAGCACCACGCTGAAACAACTGTTTCTGTCAATTTTCTTCTTGAAATGAAAAGTTTAAAAAACAAAATTAGGGATCTATAAATCGAAATACTACACCCATTCCAGAACATTCAGGAATCTAAAGTTGAAAACACATAAAACGCTGTTTTTGGCTGGTTTAAAGGTGAGAATACAAAAAAGCATATTTTTACTGGCTTAAGTCATCGGCTGGCTTCTTCGTAGAGGAACAGAGGAGTTTCAGATTGACTTAGTTCGATTTTGGCCTTATGCTATGTTTACGTTAGAACTTTTTACAGGGTTAACCTACTTCAAGAGGATTTATTTGAAGTATAAGTAATGGATATGATAATTTTAATCCAAATCCAGTGGGCTAACCCATTTATATGTAAACGTACTGTTACACTTTTTATGACAAATTAAAAGTTGGAATATGGATTGAAAATTTTCCACACACAATTCAAGCTTACAAATACTTTGTGCAACGGCTGAATAACAAGATTGATAATAAGCTTTCGACTTTCGAATCCAAAATTATTTAAATCCAACTTTGAAAATGAACTGCATTTATTCAATTGTAAAGGTTTTAAAATCAAAGCCCTTTTATGCCATGTTTACGTTAGAACTTTTTGTAGGGTTAACCTACTTTGAGAGGATTTATTTGAAGTAAAAGTAATGGATATGACAATTTAAATCCAAATCCGATGGGTTAACCCTCATATATATAAACGTACTATTAATTTTCAACAATCCAAAAACACACATATGGTCCGCACTAAAAATAAATGAAGAAGCATATCATATTATTAATTGACATTTTTATTCTAGTAGTATTATAAAAGTCTTGGTCAATTTTACTTGGCCTTTGTTAATTTTACATGACCATTTTTTAAACAATGATTATTCAATGAAGTTCTAAGAGAAAACGCTGCACCGCATGTTTTACATGAATACGGCGTTTGACCCGTGTGCATATGCATATGTGTTCTCAATACCGATGGATATTTAAATGTTTTTTCACATTCTTGACATTTGTATGGCCGCAATTCCGAATGTACCCTCATGTGTATCTTCAGTTTGTCGGAACGTTTAAATGATTTTCCACAACTGGAACATTGAAATGGTTTAGCATCACTATGTATTAGTTGATGGGTTTTCATATCTTTTATACGTTTAAATGTCTTGTCACATATACCACATGGATGGGGCCTTTCGACACTGTGAGTAAACAAATGACTATCGAGCATTTTCTTTGAACTATACGATTGACCACAATGCGGACATAGGAAGTATTCTTCATTTCGAATTGGCTTTGGAGATGTTACTATGGTATTTGTATGAACTCTTTTGATGTGTCTGGTTAAATCATCCCGCCTTGTATAACTGCGTTCACATAAATTACACGTAAAACTGCATTGTGTACTGTGTTTCAATTTCATGTGAACTTTTAATGCCGAAGGGCGACTTGTTTTGTAACTACACAAGGTGCACGGTGTTTTCTCTTCATCAGGCATGTGAGTGTAACGTTTGTGTATATACAGAGCCTGTTTATCTTGGTAAATTTTCTGACATATTTCACATCTGACGGCAATTGGTTCATGCAACATATCTATTTCATCCAGGGATTGTACATCCGATTCTTCTGTGGAACTCAGATTCGCCTGCCTATCATTGCACATATTTTAGAGACATAAACATGTAACATATTGAAAACTGGTTTGCACTGCATACCTTTCATCGCCGCTCTCCGCAAACGTTTCAATATCTTCTGTGATGGATTGATCATTGCAGGAAAACTCAATAATTTGATCTAGCTCAAGTTCCTGCGGCTCGAAAGTGTCTTCTTCTTCCTTCACTTCCTTTTTATGCTCCACCAGTGATTCTGTTTCAGGGACAATGTTTCCTGGAATTTCAATTAAAGTTTCCAGTAAATTGTTCGTATCATAGGTTTCCTTACAGTCAACAGCCGGGCAATACAACTCAAGAAAATATTCATGCGATGCCTTTACTTGCAAAAGAAAGCTATAGCTTTGTTTCAACTGCCGTAAACATTTACGACATGCCTCATTTGGCAATCTAAATTCATCACACTCCCCTATCTGGAACGTAAGAATTACAAAGGGAATAAATATATTGAAATAATGAACTAATAACACCTTACATTTTCAATAATTCCTACCGCCATCTCGTACAAAATGTCCTTGTAGGATTTCTCCTCAGCACCTGGTACATTTGCTTTGTCTGTTAGCTTTATTAATCTGGATGTAGAATTTGTACAACAAAGACATCCAACTTCCTTTGCCATCTTCAAAAATAAATGCCCCTTTATGGTGAGGAATATCAAAGGTTTGAGATCAGTAATATAGCAGTCTTTCCAATATAGTCCAGTCCAGGCTTTCCAATATTATCCAGAGCAGAGCAAACGTGTCCCAAATGAAACAAATAAGGGAACAAAACATAAGCTTCGATAAAAAACAAAAGCAAAAGGAAGAGAATGTTGTTTACGAATGAGTGTAATGCATAACGCCGAAAACCTTGTTTACGAACAAGTATAATGTATGAGACATGTAGGACAACGCAACCAGCTGATTGTACCTAATCTGTTCATCTCCATGAAATGGTGTCTCCAGATCGAAAAGTGATGGAATTAGGTATGTCTGGTTGCTTTTAATGCAGGAAATGTCCAGCAACTTCTTCCTGAGAGAGTGACTTTTTATTTATTTTTATTCTCTTTTGCAAGAAAACTGTGAAAAGTAAACAGATGGAACCATGCAAAAACTTGCAAGCAATTAACTGATTAATCAAAATAAAGCAATTAAAGAAATTAAGAACACATTTAAGAACAATTGTGCTTGCGTTTTTTTAAATTAATATGTTCTAAGATTTTTTGCCCAAATATACATCACCGGAAGGAGAAGAAGAAGAGTTGCAAGTGCTTGCAAGAAGAAACGAGCAAGAATTTTCGAGCTCTCAGTAAAAAACTGTTCAAATGTCTCTCTCTAACGGCTCTCTTTTTCAGAACTTTTGTGTTAACTGACGGATTAGGGTAACCAGACACACCTATTAACATAGAAGGATACATAGTTTTATTTCCTTCTTCTTTCCTCGAATAGCTGTTGTTGGGAATGGCAATGAAGGAGTGGAAAGATGTATTTCATGACTTAAAATAATTTATTTGCAATAACCATGGTATCATGGCACGATTACAGAGGGCATGGTAGAAGAATATGAGTAGATGCATCGACACAGCAGCTGGGATAATGAACTGTCAAACTGATTTTGGAATTGAAAATGTTGAATATGTCAGAAGAATACTCCAGGATTGCAGAGCACAGTAATTCCCACTTCATCAAAATTTTCACCAAACCAGAAAGGACCCCCTGGTATAAAAAATCTAAATTACACCCTGACGACCAGAAGATGATGAATCGAATTTTGTACAACCATACATTCAGCAAGAGCACCCTTTATAAAATGAATGCGGTACCCTCAGCAGACTGCGAAACATGCAACGCAGAAGAAACCATTTCACACATATTGTTCAGTTGCACCAAACATGACAACATCAGGAGCAAGTACAAATCCTTCAATGGAATCTTCACCGTCGAAGATTTCATAGCCAAACATCACTGGGAACACCTGCATGATATGGTCAAGTTCATAAAAGAAACAACATCGCAAATATAACATGAAGGCACACAGACAAAGTCTATTTTTTCGTGTGGCAATATACCCCCTACCTCTCCAAAAGAAAGTTCGCCAATTATCCCCTCCCCTTTTAGTTCCCAACGCGCTTAGGGATTTAAAAAAAAATGTTGAATGAAAAATTATTTAAATTTGTAAAAATTCTTGAAAAATGCATATCATAACAACCTCCGACATATCAATTTTCACAAGCGTTGATGTATCTACCTTTATTCTTCTACTATGCTTCCACATTAACTTTAAAAAAATGTAAGTATTGAGGTCTCCAACCTAACCATCTACGGGGCACTTAAGAATTATCTTTGTCATCATTTCGCTTTGCATACCTGTATTTAGAAAAAAAGAAGACCTTATTTCAATGTTTATTTTGTTTCCACTTTCTAAACAATTTGGCCTTTCCTTCCTTCCATTTGCTGAGTCTTTTTCCATTTCCACACTTTCTAATTTCGCGCTCATGAGCTGCTTCCCCACCTTTAATGTTTACCAAAAACTCACAAAACCTACAACACCACCTGTGGGCCAGAGAGAGCAATTGGCGATTTGGTCATCATCCGGTAGCACAGCCTGCTCATTATTACAAGAGGAACTTTTATAAAAGCATTACACCCCGCCTAACCATACAAAATGTGGATAAACCACTGGCATTTTTGCGGAAATTTACTCCAGATGGTAGTATGCTGTTGGCATTTGCGTTTGGGCAACGTGCATTGGAAGTATATCAGTATCAAGGTGTTGGCAGAGTTGCACACCTGTTGAGTTCCCAAAAAAGCGAATGTATAACGGCGGCGGATCACTCTTTGGACTCACTACATATACGGCAGCAATTGTTCAATGCCCTTTTTAAGAAGAAATACACAATCCAATTGATAAATGCTTCGTGGTCCACGCGGCATGTTTTTCATCGAGAATTTAGTATATTCCTTGAAAATGGCCGTTATGTGCTGTTGGTGTCTGTGGCCGGTGGCGCTATACTTCCCAGTTATCAAGCCTATCAGGAATATCCTGATCTGTTCGATGATGCCAATTTGTATGACTACACGTTTCATTTGGTCGACTTACACAAGGGATGTATTTCCGACACGTTGCGTATGGAACATGATTTCATTGTGTTGTCCCACAATCATAGTGTCTCGGTATATGGACGTACGATAGCTATTTTATCTATATACCGACAATGTATAGAACTTTTGGAGCTGGATATGGAGGGGAAACTGCAACGTTTATACACTGTGGGTCCATATGGCAGTAATTTAGATCGTGATCAAATATTAGCCCATCAACAAATGACAACTTCCACACTGGATCATACACACAGTGTACCGTTGTCACATTTCAAGCAGAAAATCTTGGCATTTATTTACAATTGGGCTCTGGAGGCGTCAACGGAATGTGAACGCAAAGAGAAGATAAAGTTTTTCTATAAAAATTTTGGATTGGTAGGTAGGCGATTGCATTAAGCTCTCTTCCACATCGGGTGTTAGTGGCGAATAATGTTGTTTTTAATTATCACTTTTTAGGTCGAACGCATGCTTATAATGAAAATGCAGTTGATCGATAGTGAGCATATATTGATGCGTTATGAAAAACGACAATCTCAAATGCCCTTGGAAATGCTGGAAGGCACGGTGGATTCTGTTACAAAGAATTTTAAATTGTATGTCTTCTACAATATCACGGAGCAGAAGGTATTAACAATCTTTGGTCAAAATTCTGTAAACATGCTTTTAATGTTGCGGAATTTTTGTGACGAATTTCGCAATGTACGATCTTTGTACTCTTGGCATGCATCATCACCCAGTAATAATGTTTACTTTCGCGAATCGTTTGACAAGTAAGTATCTATATAAGAGATACGTCTTAATTTAATTTCACATTTTATTTTCCCAGCGATTTGAAATCATTTCCCGGTGGCATAAGAGAAGCAGCAGCTCGTGCTAATCCCAAGCTTCCCATTAGTGCACAAAATTTCTCAGCCATCCCTTATTTAGATTACTCGCTCTTCAATTATGATCATCGTTTTATATCTGCACTAGAGAGACCTCGTCTAATTGGCATGGAACCAATACGATTTCGTGATCGTATTACCAATATACTTAAGTTCCGTGTCCATTTGGAACATTCCTCTGACACATGGCAAGAGTATGGAATGGGAACTAATCCACGGGATTTGGTAACATTCATATTTCATCCCTATGAACCATTCTTCATAAGTATACAGAAGTTTATATCACGTTATGTATTAAATTTCCATATTTACAATACCAATACAAAAGTTGAACCGTAAATCCATAAATGTAGTCATAAGAGCACAAAATTGAAGCAGGAACTAGAAGTTAACAACCAATTTATTTTTTAAAGTATTTACATAATGCCTGTGTTATGAGTTGAAAACTCGCATTTTTAAATAAAAGTGTGAAAATGTTGCTAGTATATTTATATTGGATTTGATCGAGGGTTTGTTGAACAGAAAGAAGGTCCAATTTTAATATAAGGAGTTTTTGATTGTATCTTGATCTTTGACATTTTTTTCTACTTATAACACTACTATCATGGACGATGTGAAAAGATATACTCTTATTCTATATTTTTATATACAATATGATCTGCAGGTCTTCAATTGATAAGAAAACATTATCAATAATAATAAAGCAATTTTCGTATTTTCATTAAAATTACATTTTATTTCCTCTAAACCTAAAACTTCATTAACTCGCTATACTCTAAATCCTGTCCCAAATTTCACACAACACAATATTCATAGAGATATTGACGAGCTTTAGCAAAATTTCCACTGGAACGATAGATAAGATGTAAATTGAAAGCAATTTCCTGCTTTAAACTCAATATTTTCTCATGTTTTTCCAGCAGAGGGTGGGTGAAATTTAAAGCCTTTTCATAATATTCCACTGCCAAATGAAACAGACCACATTGATGATAGATTCGACCAAGATTATAATTAATCTCCTGATATGTCACAGAATTCTCCATAGATGAATCAACATTGTTGGGCGACATGGCAAAGGCCGTTGATCTCAACTCGGCATATTTTTGGGCAAAAACCACAGACTGACTAACGGCGGCACATTTTCGCAAGACTTTCTTTTGCATGGATATCTGTTGAAATATGACCGCTATGCAGAGGGCCAATAGGGCGGTAGGTTGTTCCTTGAAAAGGGGTACGTACACATTTAAAGCATATTTATAGGAGCTGCAATGCAAATGATAGTGACCGGTTAAAATACGCATTCCCTTGGCCTGAGGCTGCCGCTTAATTAATCTGGATGTAGAATTTGTACAACAAAGACATCCAACTTCCTTTGCCATCTTCAAAAATAAATGCCTCTTCTGGAGAGGAATATCAGTAATATAGCAGGCTTTCCAATATTGTCCAGAGCAGAGCAAATGTGCGCTTCCAAACGTGTTCCAAATGAAACAAATAAGGGAGCAAAAAATAAGCTCCGATAAAAAAACAATAGTAAAAGGAAGAGAATATTGTTTACGAATGAGTGTAATGCATAACGCCGAAAACCTTGTTTACGAACAAGTGTAATGTATGAGACATGTAGGACAACGCAACCAGCTGATTGCATCTAATTTGTTAATCTCCATGAAATGGTGTCTCTAGATCGAAAAGTGATGGAATTAGGTAAGTCTGGTAAATTGTACAATAAAAAGGAAAGGTAGACTTCTGCCAATTTTGCGGGACGCGCATTGAAACTATTCACCAGTATTGCCATATTTTAAAAAAAAAATCCATTTCCTTAATTTTTGCGCTGTTTAACTGATTTAAAAAATAAGGAAAAATATTGAATAAATTAAAACAACTTCTTTGCATGGAAATTAGAAAAGAAGCGGGCA